TTGGAAATGTTACTTCATAAAAATAATATATCATTATTGTTATTATTTATAAAAAATATCTCGTTACTAATTTTAAAAAGTAATGCATTATCGTTATCGTTACTTGGACAATAACGATTCATTTCTTTTATAGTTAGTAAATTTAAAGTAAGATGTTACATTTAAAAATTATATTATTTAATAATCAATTGAGAAGCAGACTTTCAAAATGCGTATTTTCCAAAATTTGAAATTTTCAGAAAATGAAAAAGAAAGAAATTCCGCAAAAAATTATCCACTTTACAGAAAATAATAATATGCCAATTAGTAGAATGTAAAATATTAAACAAAATTGTTAACCAATTGCTAAAAATGTTAAACAAATGTATTTGTTCGTCTTTAGTTAAAAAAACATTATGCATTTCGGAAATGTCTATTTTTTCAATATATAAATTGACAATGAAAAAATGTTTTCTGAACATCTCCGTAGCTTATAACAAGAATCTTTCAACACAAAACACTACGCCATCTCTAAAAAAATTTTGGACAAAATGCATTTTGAAAGTCTGTTCCTCAGTTAACGATCAATATTAATTTAAATTGTAACAATTAATATTAATCTAAATTCATGAGAATTAGAATCATCAATCACCCCAATTATAATCTTACCGCATTTCGTTCATTGGATTATCATTCGGGTTCGTTAAACTGGCAGTGGAAGTACGAGGTGTCAAAATTGTCATGCATTCCTCCTCCTCTTCCAAAATTCCGGGCAAGAACATCATCTGTTTCTCTTCGGGTACCCTGAAAAAAATCGAGGAAAATTGATAGCATTTGTTATAGAATATAATGTTCAAAATTTCAATATTTAAAACAAATTTTATATTTTACGAAACTGTATCCCAAAAGATATAGAATCGCCAGATCTTTACGAACAATATTTCGTAATTAAATCGATTTATACAAATTACATATAAATTTTTAATCTGTTCTGATTCAAAATAAGTATTATTAATAATAAGTTAATCTAGATCGTTATATAAATAAAACGAAATAAATAAAGAAAGGATCAATATGAGATAGATGTAGGTCTAGCTAATATTATAATATTTTTATACGTAAATCTAAATACACCTTTCAGTTACATAAACCGCGTACCGCAGATTTGAAATGCAATCACAAACTATAAAACGAAAATAATAATATCATAATTAAATTGATTGTCAATTTGATAATGCTACTAACATCTTAAAATACTACAAAGAATTTATTGCGAAAGATATTAGCTTATCGAAGCTTATTGTTACGAATAATATTACAATAAAATTGTATGAATATTACAATAAAATATGAATAATAAGATACTAACATCATGTTATCCACGCTACCGCGATAAGTCTTCTTCTTGTATGCCGCAGCTGCTTCCGTATATGGCAAGTTCATATCTTCAGAGTCGTAGTAAATATCCTTGACAAGCGGTGGACAGCGATTCATTAGCGTGTCTACTCCAAGATATGACACCTAATATATGAGCATAAAGAGGGAATGGAAATATAATTTTATGCTAACTCTCGATGTTCATTCATATATAAAACAGATCACTCAAAATTGACGCTTGATATTTACTAATATTTACTAACTTTTGTGGCCTATTTTAATGCTAAAAATGTGCACCAAGTGTCAGCATGAAATTATACCTTAAGTATAAACTATGTTTTACAATTTTCCTAAATTTTTATGGAGAGAGAGTGCTCCTACCTTGGTATGACGATCAATCAGCCAGTTCAGCTCGAAATCTTCATCATCATCACCGAAAGGATTTATCAGCTGTTCAGCTACTTTCAACAATCCCATAAAGAAGAAGAACTGCAAAATTGTGAAAATGGGCACGTATTTATCTATTTTCAGTTGGAATTGTTTCTCGACACCCTCGATGTATTGTCGACCGATTACGGCGACTGCGAAGAAACTGTAAGTGGCGAGTGTCACCACTTGAGTGTACACTAAAGGAATCGACACCCAGTCGTAGCTCCACAAGAAACCGCACTTGGTCCGAAATTCATTGAATTCCTACAAATCAGATCGACGATCAAATTTACAGAGCAAGAAAAAGAGTTTATATCGATTAATTAATTTTATTAATCACGTTTCTGGGAAAAATTTAATGAATTAGGATTCAAAGTGTGAATACTGAGATGAAGAATATTTGCTTTTTCTTTTTAATTTCCTTAGATATTATATTCTGATTAATTTATCGTGCGTTTTTTACACATCAAAATTGACTTTTATTTATTCCTTTGTTTTCACGCATAAAAGATGCGTAATGCATGAAGAAAAGAAATATTATCTCCAGCAATCCCAATTAAGATATTCGTGCGAGAGCACAATGTGTTTGAGACATGCGTGCCTAATCGCGGAAAATAAAAACGTAGTTGATGCAACATGGCTTACAATGTATTTTGAACCGGTCATATACCGATTCGCTACCGTCACGGTAGCTCATAAAATTTAATCGTTTCTCTAACGATTGCTTTTCTGGTTACCACCGTAAGATACAATCAGACAGATATTGTATCATGTATGGTGTTGCGCTTCATGAACTAACATGATAAACAGGAACGAATAAAATAGAAGATATATAAATATCAAAAAATAGAAGATATATAATATATTTAATGCGACTTCGTCTTTAAAAAAATAAAATAATTATTCCTTATTTTTGTTACAAATTCAAAATAGATGCTAAAGCAAGAAATTTTAATGATTTTAATTTCTTTTGTGTTAATAAATTAATTGTTAAGAATATTATATTTTGATTAATTATTTATATGAAATAATGATCACAATTAGAAAAAGAACTTCTTTCATTTTGTGTAATAAAGAAAATTTTTTATCAAATTTTAAACAACAAAGGAGATCAAAGAAAGAAAACATGAAGTTCGCTCACCTCCATTATTAGCTTTAAACCTTGCGCATCGGATATTCGGTGGGTCTTGCGTGCCTCCTTGAGGAGATTAATGAACCATGTACAGGGTATCCAATAGGTGTTAAACTCGACACTCGGCACCGACTGATACAATTGGAGCTCGAGCGTGGTCATGAAGCCTGCAACAAGCTCGTTAATTTTTAATTGTCACTAAGACGACGATAGTGGTTCCAGTACTGTGATTTACCGGAATCAACGACGTGATCGAGAGTGGGAAATCGTCTCTTCACCGCTGAGCTTATGGAACGCAATACAAGTATCAGCGAGAGGTTTAGATAACGCATCAGGGCTCTGCGCAACATACGACTATAATCGTCGTTTCCGGTGACGTAGAGTGCCACGAGATGCATCACCCTGTAAAAAGAAAGAAAGAATAGGGCAATCATAAAGAAGTTCATGTAATAAAAATAAAGTTACATTTTTTATTTTCGATAATTAGGCTATGCTTTTTCTTGCTTTAGCTAAAAGAAAGAAAGAAATATTAACTTGCACTGTCAAAAAATTTTTTGAGATTTAACAATTTATGTATTGCTTGAAAATTGATAGCATCTAAACTCACTTGTCAGGCCAGGGTATTGCTGTGTATTGTTTCCACCATCTCTGCGCCACATAGGATACATAAAATCCAAGCACGAAACTCAACGGAATCAATTTGATCAAGGCGTCGCAATAGATGACAACTTGTTCGAAGTCCCTATGATACGTTATATATTAAAAGCAACTCAATAACAAAAAAATTGATTAAATTAAAACATTATGAAGAAAAATAGAGAATGGTGAATATATGCAAATTAATATTAAAAAAAATTTGCCCATTTGTATATACTTATGTCTAATTTCATCTATTAATAGATGGAATTAATGGTTAATCGAAATAATTTTTTTCCTCTATATCCTCTATTTCTAGATTTACATATGTCTATATTTAGAATTTAGAGCTTTAAAATATTGGAATGTCCACCTTCTTTGCGTGGCAGTGAAGGCATGGCGATAGAGCGCGGACAAGATACCGAAGATAAGTAAAAAAAGCAGCAGTTCCCTGTAGATGAGCTTGTACAGGGAACCGCGCCACATAAGCAGGAGCCTGGTGAATCCACCGCTGGTGGAACTGGCGACCTGGTACTGATAAGAGACCGTCATCTTTTATCCATTCAGGTGCACCGTGCCAGTTTCTTCTCGAGAACGACGCGCTCGCGAGCACGTTGTTACTCATACTTCCAGAAATTTTCGTCTGTCGAACCTGAGAGGAAAATTATACTGCAGTTGCAAACCGCAACGTGTGTTCAGTATTTATAATATTTTTGAGAGAACTAAATTGTGTATAGCTTTCTTTATGATATAGTCTACTTTATTTTTAATGATAAAAATGAGTAAAATAACGTTTTTAATTAATAATAATTAATTACAAATAATAAACTAATTTATATAGGGAATAAAAAACTAATTTATATAGGGAAAAATAATAGAATGGAAAAGACAAATTTCTTTTCAATGCGCAAATTTTTTCGAATTTTATTTTTTGTATTTCTCTTATGCAATCTCTATTTTAAGATGAACTATTGCATCAAAATGGGCTTCTGATGTAGGATATAAATACAATCTATTTCGAGCCATCGCGAAATAATTTATATTATGAAAAATGATTTTTCTGTTAGCTAATAGCGTTCTATCACTTTTTTTTATTTTCTCAATTCTTTTCAAATTTCCTAATTTTATTATCACGTGCAAAGACTAAATTGATTTTCAAGTATGCACTAAAAATAAATTTCTGCAGGTTGAAAATTGACGAATCAAAATTTTCTGGTTAAATTTATTAGATTCTAGTTGAGATAATCGGAATTCTGGTTAATACAATATTTCTGGTAAACTCTACTAGAATTCTTATTTTTACCAGAATAATTATATCAAGAATTCTAGCTATTTCAACTAGAATTCTAGCAAATTTAACTAGAAAATTCTGATTCGTTCATTTTACCAATCAGAATTACTGTTTAATCCAACCAGACCATTTTTCTCAGTGTAATAACAAATAAAACAGCTCACAAATTTTTACAAACTGATAAATGTAATTACTTAAAGACAGATTAGATATTAAAAATCTGCCTCTATTTATTACACGCGACGTCTATGTAAACATTAAATTTAACCAATTATCAAACTTATTTCAGCGCTTTTGTGTCCTATGCAATAAGCATTTTGTGGTCGCATTTTACGGCAGTAAATAATTAATTTGTCTCATTATAAACATAGTTCCGCAACTTTTCCGCGACGATTTATCTGCTTGTTGTTTTTAATCTTGTTGAAAACTGGTTTATGATCGTTTGCGACGCCAAACTTTTCGAACAAATGCGGTCGAGAGAGATTCACTTATAAGAGAAACGACGACCCACTCAAGACTTTGCACGATGACACGTCGCAACACGCGTGATCGCATCATTCGCCAGAAATATCTCACGGTATGCGAAAGTATCTTAAAGTAACTAAAAATGAAATGATCTAGGCCTAGATTCGTTTCCTATGCTGCGCAAATAATCAGAGTTGCCATAATTTGCGATAAAAAAAATTCAACGAAGACAAAATTCAGCAAAGTATAAGGTAAATTAAGGCAATCGATAAAATCATCTTTCATAAATTTTCCTTTATTTGATAAATATTTAAATAACTCAAATGTCTCTATTAGTAAATGTAAACATGAATGACAAATATAAAACTTATTACATATTGCATAAAAACAATAATAGTTTAAATTTTAAATTAAAAGTTTGCAAAAAGAATATGTGATTTTATATTTGTATTAAAATTTAATTTTATCTAAAAAAATTTTTTGTTTTTTATTTATTTCTTAAATTCTATTTCGCTTTTACAAACATTGGAATTCGTATCATTCTCGGCTTTATACGCGTATTTCGTCATAATTATGAGCAGCATAAAGTTTCGGATTGCATTGATATGATGCTAAAAACGGTTGCACGCGTCACAAGCAAAACGTCATTGCCAAAGAACAAACCTGAGAACTGGCGCGACTGCATCTTTTTTTTCTTTCACTTTCACGGAAATTTATCGTAAATAATGTCTGATTTAATGTCTCTTGGGAATTGCGCCAGTAATGCGGTGGTAAATATAACTTTGGACGTCGAAGTAACAGCGAAGTGTCTGGGTAAACATACTATTTGCACGAGATTTCCGGACGCGCGACCTTTGCCGCACTTTAGTGTGCACTTTGTCGATCGACACCTTGAGAATGCATCTCAAAGTGCGGTTACAAGTATTTGGCACTTTATTTGTTATTATTTTACTTCTGAAGTGTTTCAAATATGTAAGAGACGATCAGCTATTCCTATCTTTTTCTTTCTCACGTTAAAAAGAAAAGGATTTTCTAAATAACATAAAACATAAATTAAAAAAAAACTCTTTATAGCTTAAACATCATATAATTACAATCTTAATTATTTTAATTGCATTTATTTAACTTTATTAAACAACTTGGGTTTAGATTTATTTAATTAGTTCGAAACTTTTCCAAGATTTATATGTTTCATATATAAAAGATTTTGAGTCACGTGTTATCTTTTATACTTACAATTAGATAGGAAAGTATTAAAATTATTAAATACAGTATTACGTTAGACATTCCGAACATACATCATTACAGAAACAATTATAGACTTTAAATAAATATAAGTCAATAATAAAAGAGAAGTAACTTGACAGTGAGTATCAGTCAATGCTTTTTTATTTGATCTATTTGGTCTAAAAAGCTGTTACTGAATAGCTGTATCGCTTTGAATCTAAAGTATTTATAATCGGTTCTTATTTCAAGAGCGTAATAATGTCTTAAGATGCTAATGAGGCCCTCTGATTAGTTCGTGACACTTCAAACAGAATAAGACGAAATAAATCTTGAATATAAGAATTGATTATGAATATCGGCCTAAGAACACTCTGTATAATAACTTGATGTTTTATTACAAATTATTTTAAGTACGAAGATGTATTGCATATTTTTCATTTATTTTTCATTTATTTTAGAAAGCTCCATATCGACGCATATATCTTTGGAGCGGCGAACGTTTGCATAATGTTATACGCGAGACGATTCGTTTCGTATGCATTTAGTACACCGTTTGAAATGAATACCTTCTTGATGGCTTCATCCTTACTTACATCCTTACTTACACTCATGCAACAGCTATCGCGATGACGCTGTTAATAATACGCATGCGACAACGTCGTCGCCGTGTCTGACAGATCGTCTGACTGTCGCACTATATTTTCGCATCTGACCTTACCAAAAATATCGCAACGAAAACCATGACCTTTAATAAAAATGCGAAATTTGGTATTTCTCCTAGAAGAAGCGCATTCACTGCGCTAATGATTTAATGCGAATACAGGGTTTATTGTGTTCAGTATGATATTTTATTAGAGAGATAGAATTAAATAAAAACTGTTGTACAATAATCCTGTGAATAATTTTAACATGCTATGTTAATATTTCTTATATATATAAAAATTATCTTAAGAAAAAGTGATTAAAAATAAGTAATTTTTTATTGCTGCGAGTATCATATTTTTAATGCAGAAAAAGTTCATATAATAAGAAATTGCAATTCACATACAAAAGATATTATATTAAAAGATATTATATTAAAAACCAGAAACTTTAGAAAAATCTCGTTTTAATTCCATGTCAAAGATGGGAATATATTTGATTCAGATTTTATATTCTAAAAAGTCGAAGACCATATTTTCGATCATTTATATATATA